GGAAGAGAAGATGAGAGAGAGGAGGAGAAGAAGAAGAAGAAGTCCAGCCATATATATAGGGAAGAGAAAGGTATCGAGTGAAGAAAGACCATGAATCGAGACTGGGGAATGGGGAATGGGGAATGGGGAATGGCTCCTATAATTCATAGGGATAGAACTGTCACGGTGTGTGCAGCAATGATTCCAAATCACCTCTAGCACTTAGTGAAAGTACAAATCATAGTACATCCAGGGAATACTGGTATCAGAGCCTGTTCCCAAAGCGTTTCATAAGTGAGTCTTCCAGTCACTGCCTGATGGAGCTTGCCAGAAGGATTAGGGAACTACGAAAGGAAGAAACCGAGAATGCGTAAGGTAGTTAGGGTCTAAACGGATGATGACAGGTTAGAGGAGTAACTTGCCAGACACGTGGACTGCCATCACAGATGCTATAGAGTGGTAACGCTTCGATATTGATATTTACTACTTATACTATTCTGAGTCTGGATTTAGCTTTATACGTTGAGGGAAAGGAGACATAGTTGCGGAGAGCAGCATATATAGTGGCTGATTTTGACAATTGCTACTAGTACTAGTATATAACTAGCCAGCAGTAACAAGCAGAATAATGTATGAAAACAGAAGGGAGCATATACAAATACCACAAAACACCAATCCAAACCATCAACCCCGAGAATAAGTATTCAAACGGTCAGATCCCGTCCGACGCAGACAATGAACGCTTTTCCAGCATGTATATATGAACCAGACACACACAGCGTATAAACAATCAATTAACAATGCTTATGCAGAAATACTACGTACCCAAAATAAGCGAAAAGAAAACAATCATAACATAAACCCTATGCATGATACATAGATCCCATATCAAGCAACATCATGTTTCATGAACATTGAATCGTAAATGATGCGTAATAGTAATAGCTCAACAATAATCGCAGTGAGCTAAGCCGTTAAGTCGTCGAATCGATCAGATCAATCAATCGTAGTCTCGTAGTTTTCGTGACAGTATTGCTTCTAGGGAAGCGGTAGCTGGGCCAATGTCAAATTTTAAGCCTCCGCTTCACCACCACTTTCTTCATCGACTGCGCGTTTCCGGGAGTGCGCAATGCGGTTCTTCATCGTGTGAATGAAGTACCCTGCGATGGCGAGGATGATGAATAGGACGATGATGATGACAGCGATGGCGATGTTTTCTTGCATTTTGGTGGATTTTTCTTTGTCTTTTTAACTTTCAAGATTGGAGAATGAAGTATTGGCAGTCGCGATGCTCTCTTATGGAAAGAGATAGTATCTGTTGTGGTGTTGCTGATGATGGTGGAAATGCAGGTATAGATCCCCAATCACGTTATCGATAAGATGTGGATATGGATAGCCGACCGGAATGTAGATAGATAGTAAACAATGGGTGTGGAATTCCACCCTAACAGAGCTTGTAGTGTAAAGAGCCCTGAACAACCCCAATATAAGTAGGACGGGGAATGGAGGGGAAGGAAAAGAATGAAAAACCACGCAGCTCCCGGTTATAAAAGGGGAAATGGCGTGGACGTGGACGTTGGCCCAGCCATGTTGATTTTTGATCCCCTGTTGCGGGTGGCTGGGGATAAGAAACGGATCCATGATTGCTGAGCTTATTGGACGCTAACAGCGTTAGTGCACGGCTTGGGCGCAGTTGGAGTGATGCTTGCTTGTTCTGCCGTGTGGTGCCGCCTTGGTTGTTAGGAATAGCATCTTCACTATTATTGATCCTGACATGAAGTAATAGAATTGAGTGTACCAGGGGGATGGTGACTAAAAAAAGGATATTGATTTGGTTGTCTTTCATTTAAGGCCTAGTTCCCGGGATACCCTGACATTCGCGTTCCGCCTACTCAGTGAAAGTAAGCCGAGCCCTGTTTCTCCATCGACCGGCAGGCGAATCACCGGTAGTTCTTCCTTGGTCAACTAAGATGCTCAGTATATGCTCTCAAATAAACCCTCTGGCTTGTCTTTGACCGACTCTGAATGGCTCTATGTCTCTGGCTCCCCTCATCCAATCCATATGCTAGTGGTCATAAGCTCACTCAGGATAACCAGCGTCTTCACAGCTAGTAGTAGTGTAGGTTACACCAGGAAATGTAATACCAGCGGAGTATCTGATTCACAAAAACTGACCATTGCCTTTTGCTAAGACTCGGACAGTTCTTCTCGGGTGTCCATAATCAACTAGGCCGCTTACTTCAAAGACCTCAAGCTTCAATCTGGATATAGGCACTCAGCGAGGCAAGGCGCCCATACAGGCAGCCGAGAAATTAGTACTATAGCACCGAAAAGCAAACACCATGTATACTTCTAGTATATACCTCCCCTTTGCCCTGAACAACGCAACAAATTAGCCACTGCACCATCCAGACAAGAAACCAACCCGATCTTAGCAGCAAAACACACAATCTAGCCATGTTCACCACTCAAGCAATCCCTACTTCCTCGTCTCCACCACCTCCCCAATCATAGCAAAACTCAACATCTTCCGATCAAAGAATCGCTCCTCATCTTCCGCAATCTGCGCCGCCGCCTCAGGAGCCGTCACCTTAGCCATAAAAGCCTGGAAAGAAGGCTGATCAGCAAAGGTCAGCTCTGCCGTCGTATCAAAGTCAAAGTCCGACTGCTGGCCCTGAAGGATAGTCGCCGGGGTTGTGGCGTTGCGGGCCGTCGCCCCAGCAGGTGGGGTATCAACGGTTGTACGAGCTATATAGGTACGGCGGTGCGAGAGGGGGAAGTCTTCGCCGGAAATACGTCTCACGAGATCGATGTGTGCTTCGTAGCGCTCTCGGAAAGTGGACAGGGAGAGGCCGGGCTTGCGGTAGCCGTAGATGAAGACGCGGACGGTCATTGTGGTAGGGAAAGATGGTTACTATGGAGGAGGGAATGGGTTTGTTGCGGAGTTGAAGGGTATAGTTTGTGCTTGACTTTGGGTACATGAGTTGCATTGGAGGTGGGGTTGTCAGGCACGGATTATATCGGAAGTTGGTGCATGCTAAGTGCTGTTTCTTGGATTGGCATAGATGATGTAGTTCTCATTGCGGGGTTGTTGGGGCAGATGTCTTTGTCATTTTTCATTGTAGAGCTGAGATGGAATAGAGTAGCGGATAGTAAATACTACTGGATTGGGAGACTGGCATCCGGAAGGATGACCACTCATGGTGTGCGGAAGGATATCGATGTATAGTGATGGTTGGTGCAGGCAAATGTACATAGATGCGATAACTACAGATGAGGAGGTATACGGGTCTCCGGGAAGGATATAAGAACCACAGTATTTATTTCAGTTCATTAAAGTCAATAAAGACGAAAAGGAGAGGCAAAGAAGCATCTGTGTGTAGAAGAAAAAAATATATAAATAAAAATAGAATGACCAGTCTGGGGCTCGATCCCAGGACCTTATCGGTGTTAACGATACGTGATAACCAACTACACCAACCAGCCATTGTTGAATTTTTGGAGCAAATTATGTATTTATGTAGCTGTAAGGAGTCTCTACTCCTAAAACACGCTGGATAATCAAACGCGCTAACTCAAGGCCACCAATGAAACCTCCCTACTTCATAGTCGCATCGAACAAAGAGCGCCTCGTGAATGTCAGTTGTAATTAAAATTATGATCTGCGGTACCCGCAGCCGCTTACTCCCAACCGGCTTGGTATGCAGTTGGTCTGGGCTGTTCGGAACTTGACATTCCCCATCAACCACCGGATGTCACGGTCATAACATGGGAATGGCGTCACGACTTCCGCTTGAAGCTGGCATTCCGGCTCGACTGCAGGGGTTGACTTTGGGATTGAATAGTCAGGATGACTTAAATAATAGGTATTACGTCGAGGCGAGCAGTTACTTGGCCCCTCTCGCTTGCAGGCCAGACGGTTAGATATTTTAAGAACGACAAATATTGGTATCATCGCACATTAACCAGTCATATCACTCTGATGCGCACTACTGTGTACACCAACTGATGGCGCGGAGACCCGACGTTTCAGTGGTCGAACTAGGCGCCAACCCATGAGTTCCCCGGACCCTGGCTTCCGCGCGTCAGGGCTAGCACTAGGTGGACTAGCAACTGGCACTCACAGGAATTTAAGAATTCAGAACCGAAATACAACTCTAAAGTGACTCGAAGCCACTTACAAAGAGTCATCAAAGTGTCCAGACAAAATTCAGGCCAGACAGTCGAGCCCCGCCCGGCGCCGTTCCACTTCTTTAGCCCCAGATCTAGTAGACTAGCCACCTAGGCCTAGGCAGAGATTCAGGGGAATTGAAAGACTGGGGAGATTGCCTTGTCGCCTTTCACGATCCGGTCGGCTCTCAGTCTGGTCCAACTGATAATGTTTCTATTCACATCACAAAAACGGTTCGGCCGGCTGATTCTCTATGCGCTGGGGGTGCTCGGGATCATCCTCATTCTATGGCAGTTGCCCTATGCTCGGCCCACCGTGCGGATAGGAGCTAGAAGCGCCCGGTCTCAGCTCGAGGATATCAGGAACGAGACTTTGGGGGTACTTTTCTCCAATGAAGTTGACATTAGCCCCCACACTAATTTTGTATAGGTCCAGAAAATATTCGCGATCAATCTGCCTAGCAGGGTTGACAAGCGCGACAACCTTGTCCTTGGCTCTTCAGTCAGTGGGTTTAACATCGACTGGGTTAACGGCATTACTCCCGACGAGGTTGACCCCAGGACTTACCCTTATGTGAGTCCTTGACAACGCTATCCAATGGGATGCATGCCACTGACATTTCAGAACTGGAACTATGACCACAAACCTACCGAGTATGGAGCTCGACGGGCTCATGTGAATGCCATGCAACGGTATGCCATAAGCTGCCCCCTTCCTCATATATTTGGCTAAACATGCACCCCCAGAATTGTTCATGAAAGATTAGGAAGTGCCATGATCATGGAGGATGATGTCGACTGGGACGTAAACCTCAAGACCCAGCTACAAAGTTTTGCTCTCGGCGTACGGGCTCTCCAGGGTGCGGATAACAAGTTGACCGCTTCACCGTACGGTGACGACTGGGACATCATCTGGCTTGGTCACTGTGGAGTGTCATGTCGAGAAAACGATCCATATTACGTGAGCTCGAATGATACAACCGTCCTCCCGCCACATCACTTCCTGCCCTACTGGCGCGATCCACCCTCATTCGGGGTACCAGACTATAGCCGTCTAACCTGCGCCGTCGACGATGCAGTTTGCTCGATTGTCTATGCTGTGACCTACCGTGGTGCTCAGAAAATCCTGGCCGCTCTTTCCGTGAACCCGACAGGTCTCGCCGATAAAATCGACATTGGTGCTCAGTTCGACGTATCGCTCGGTCGCATGTGCGGCAATGGCTATCTCCGGTGCTTTGCAGTCTACCCATCCTTAACAGGTGGATATCATCCCGCTGGACCCTCCTCGAAGGAATCTGATATCCACGGCGGGAATGAGGACGTCCATCCCATATCCAGTCACGGGGTTATGTACAGTACGATGCTGAACATCAACCGCATACTGGCTGGAGAGGATACGGTTGTTTCCAATTGGGATGACGCCCCTGTTCCAGTGATTAATCCGGCGAATGTTTCAATGACTCGGGGATCAATGATCATTTCTGCAGAGAACGGCGAGTATAGCCCTTCAAATATCAACCCGTAATCAGAGGGAAACATATGCCGGCAGTTCCGAAAACCTTGCTCAATATTGTATATAGACTTGCTTTCCTTTAGAAGATACCTACAATAATCACATTTGACCTTTTGATTCCATCTATCCATCGACTTTGAGAAACCTCGATTCTCGCGTCACAAAAAAAAAAGATGAATCTAATAAAACAGGAGACTACGACCCAGCATCACGTTATTCTGTAGCACTTGCCTAACCAAGAACGCCATAGCCTCTGCTATATAGAAATAAAAACATAACCTCCAAACTAAACCCACCCACCCTCAACCTAGTATAACAATCATCATTATGGAATTCCACAACAGCATCCAAACCGTCCTCTCCGTCCGCACCATCTTAGAATACATCCTCCTCGAACTAGACATGCGCACAATCCTTACCTCAGCGTCCCGCGTCAATCGTTTCTGGAACTACACAATCAGTAATTCCCGTCCCATCCAACAAGCACTATTCATACAACCATTTAGACGCCGCAACCACAATTCCTCACAGGGAGTCCTCAACCCCCTACTAGCAGAAGCCTTCCCAGGGATCTTCCAGCGGAACAGTACCGTCTTCCCCGAGCACACAGAAAGCAAACTTACCTTCGACACTTTCCACATGGTCAGAGACCCCACCAGGACGGAAATATACATGCGAGAAAACGCAAGTTGGCGCCGGATGCTGGTCCAGCAGCCTCCTGCGCGTTCATTGGGGATCGTTAGCCATATTGGGGATGATACTGGGTTTCGAGAGAGGTGTGAGATACAGGTTAGTTAGTCAATCTGATCTATATCATTGGGTGGGTGGGGGTAGGTTTTAATGTGCGTTATTTGTTTTGTTAGAGAGTAAGCGAAACGGGACCAGGGCCGCGAGATGACGGTGTGCGCATGGAAATGCTTTTCGACATTCTGGTATTCCATGGCGAACTCCATGGCTTGATGGATTATGCTACTGTTTACTGGTGGGGAGATCGTTCGGGTTCTTGGGTATTGGAATATATGGAGGGCATGGGCTTGTGTAATGCCTCGACAGCGCCGGATCTTACATTGTATATCCCTCTGTTTTTACCAGGTCGTCGGGATATGGGTTCAGACATGGAGGTTAGTGGTCGTACACCGGCTTTGGATTACCTTCGTTCTTTTTATCAAGACAATGGGATAACTCCTAATTTGAATATAAGGGATGGGTGGGAAATTTTTGTCAAGAGACGGAGGAGGAGGTGGGCGTGATGCATGTATGCGGTATAGATACTATGTAGATAGGATCAGGCAATAGCATTCGTACGATATGTATGACAACGCAGTGGCAGGCCTTTGTCCAGACGCATTCCACTAGCCCTGGATATACGTGCGGAACAAATTCGCCAGTTCAAAGAAATTGGCCTTGTAGAAGCGCTCTTTTGTAGTCAAGTTGACATACTACAACGATGTTAGTATAAGCTTTTTTTGTACACAAGAAGTAAAACTCACCAGTATTCCAAATCTAACAGAATACCCAGCCCTCCACTCGAAATTATCAGCCAAACTTCAAGCCGAGCACCCCAGCAGTTTAACCCCTTCCTGAACAGCCATCAACATCGCCTACACATACTCATGATAATAGAGGGTCCTCAAAGGATCCGTTAGTATATCCTCGCGCAGATTCTCATACGCCTCAAACGGCTCCGAAAATCCCAACTCAGCAATGGCTATACAGTTCACGGGATTCCACGTATCTTGAATATAATGCAAGAACCTAGGCAGCCAATCAGTAGCCTCATAAGCCAGACCAATCCAGGGTCGGATGCTGGGCCAATAAGCCAACCACCTTCGAATTCAAGCAACGTGTAAGAGGTGTTATAGCATGAGGGGTGCAGGCTGTTTTTGGGGTCAACTAGACACCCCTCGATCCCTTCTCCAAAGATATTAGAGAGAAGTTGAGGAGGAGGTAACAAAGTTGATGGAGGACCGCGGGGAAAGAGGAGAGAAGAGAGTGAGGCGGAAAAGCAGAGGGGCGGCTTTTCTCTCTCTTCTGGATGCAGCCAAGCCATCTTCCTCCTCCTTCACCCCCCTTCATTCCATTACCCACAACTGCACCCCAGCAATGCTGTCAAAGGTGGAACAGACCATCCAACTGCGACATTGGAATTTGTCGCCTTGATGGAAGATCATCCAATTTAGGCTTATCTATAGAACAACCCAGACTCCTCTCCGAGTGGCTGATAGCTTCATACCTGGGCTGATTTTGTTTCAAGCAAAATGTGGGAAAGTACGCAAGCTGAGTCTCCCAGTTCTTGTCATCCTCCTTGCTTCAATTCTATGACCGTTACAATGCTTTGAGTCACTGAAGACAATGGAGGACTAATAGAAACCGCATCCGATTACCGATCTGGTCCAGATCCGCAGATGATGACCTCACCATGATCCACGGAAACTATCGACGACATCAAGCTTAAGCCATGGTTCATTCAGGGTCTTCTCCCACACCTTCTTCCATCATCCGAACTTATCTCATCACTTGATGCATGCTTATTCGATCCCCCGATCGGCATCTCGGTCGTCATGTTGTCCGATCCATACTTCACTCTGTTGGTCGAAAGCTAGAGCTCGGTGGTGAAGTTGCATCGGTCTTCAGCAAGCTCCGACAATGCCGGTACTTAACGCGGAATGTAGAGTGTAGAAAATAAGGGCACCCAGAAGCCCATTACATTCGCTCATCCCCCTGTTGTGTCTCTAGACTTCTATTTGAAGCCGACATCGGGTATTGTCTCCGCCGTTACTTTACTGATTGATATGTTATATTTCTGGTAGCTAGTGTCGCATCACTATCAACATGGACTCGGGACGCTCCCCTCCCAGCGAGCCACGCTTTGCTCCCAATGAAGACGAGAAAAAAGCTCCACTGGATTCTTCTTCCGATTCGAGCTCAAGCGCGTCGCGTAGCTCGGGCCTTTCGAGAAAGCAATCGGCTATACCTGTAGAGCATCAAGTCTCGAATGAAAATGTGATCCGACAGGAGTCCTCACTTCAGAGGCAGCTCACACAACAGGATATTGCTCGCGCCCTTTCTCAACGACGCAGCACTGGGGCCGCGGGGGCCGATGATACGGATCAGATAGCGAGATTGGTCTCGCGGATGTTTGGTCAGGAAAGGAAGGCCAACTCAGAAGAGGAAAAGACAAGACATCTTGGTGTGGTGTGGAAAGACCTGACTGTCAGAGGTGTTGGTCTAGGGGCGGCCCTCCAGCCCACAAACACTGACATCATCTTGGGTTTACCGAAATTGATCAAAGGCCTACTCACCGGCGGGAGGAAGAGCGCGCCACTGCGAACCATCCTGGATGACTTTAACGGATGTGTACGGCCGGGGGAAATGCTTCTGGTTCTTGGTCGTCCGGGGTCCGGTTGCTCTACGTTTCTAAAAGTCATTGGGAATCAAAGATCAGGCTACAAAAGTGTGGAAGGTGATGTTCGCTACGGAGGTGCAGACGCCGAAACCATGGCCAAGAACTACCGTTCGGAAGTTCTGTACAACCCCGAAGACGACCTCCACTATCCCACGCTCACCGTACGCGACACCTTGATGTTTGCTCTCAAGTCAAGAACCCCGGACAAAGCATCACGACTACCCGGTGAAAGTAGAAAGCACTACCAGGAGACATTCCTTTCTACCATCGCCAAGTTGTTCTGGATAGAGCATGCACTGGGGACTAAGGTCGGCAATGAACTCATTCGCGGAGTTTCTGGAGGAGAAAAGAAGCGTGTGTCTATTGGCGAAGCCCTGATCACGAAAGCCAGCACGCAATGCTGGGATAATTCCACCAAAGGCCTCGATGCTAGCACAGCTCTGGAGTACGTGGAAAGCTTGAGAAGCTCAACCGACATGGCACATGCCTCTACACTCGTGGCTCTTTACCAAGCCTCAGAAAATCTCTACAATCTCTTCGACAAAGTCATGCTGATCGAGGAAGGCAAATGCGCCTACTACGGGCGCACCGAAAATGCCAAGGCATACTTCGAGCGTCTGGGATTTGTGTGCCCTCCTCGATGGACCACACCTGATTTCTTGACGTCTGTCAGTGACCCATATGCGCGACGCATCAAGGAAGGCTGGGAGGATCGAGTTCCACGCTCTGGTGAAGACTTTCAGAGAGCATATCGAAAGAGTGATATATGCAAGGAGGCCAAGGCAGATATCGAAAACTTCGAAAAAGAGATCGAGTCGGAGCAGCAGGCGTGTGAGCAGGCCAGGGAAAAGAAGAAAAAGCAAAACTATACAGTGTCTTTCTATAAACAGGTTGTTATACTGACTCAACGGCAATTCCTCGTCATGTACGGGGATAAGCAGACGCTCATCGGGAAATGGGTGATGCTCACGTTCCAGGCTCTCATCATCGGTAGTCTCTTCTATGACCTGCCCCAGACTAGGTTAGCCCCAAGATCGATCACCCACGCCAATCGATAAGTAATATCTGACAACTTTATAGCGCTGGTGTCTTCACTAGAGGCGGTGTCATGTTTTATGTACTACTATTCAATTCCCTGCTGGCTATGGCAGAGCTTACGGCTCTCTATGGAAGTCGACCGGTCATACTGAAACATAAGAGTTTGTGAGTGGGACAAGGCATATATATTTTTGCAGTAAGCTAACTTTGCCAGCTCCTTCTATCGTCCAGCGGCATATGCCTTAGCTCAAGTGGTCGTCGATGTTCCCATTGTATTCGTTCAGATCACCATTTTCGAGTTGATTGTATACTTGTATGCAACTCTACCGCGTTTACTGCTGATTGAGACTAACCGATATACTCAGCATGTCCAACCTTTCACGGACTGCGTCTCAGTTCTTCATCAACTTCTTATTCGTTTTCATTCTGACCATGACCATGTACTCATTCTTCCGGACTATCGGAGCACTGAGTGCTTCTCTCGACGTTGGTATGTAAAGCTGAAGGCTATTCCTTGCGTGTGCTGACCGAGAATTTTAGCCACCCGTGTAACTGGAGTTTCTGTCCAGGCGCTGATAGTATACACTGGTAAGAGATATCAGCCACTTAATGAACATTCATACTGAAGATGCCCAGGATATCTCATTCCTCCATGGAAAATGCATCCGTGGCTCAAATGGTTAATCTGGATCAATCCATTGCAATACGCGTTTGAGGCGATCATGTCAAATGAATTCTATGATTTGAATCTGCAATGTGTCTCCCCGTCCATATTTCCTGATGGACCCAGTGCACAGCCTGGCAACCAAGTCTGTGCGATCCAAGGAAGTACGCCAAATCAGCTTGTTGTGCAGGGATCGAACTACATACAGACTGCCTTCACCTACACTCGATCCCATTTATGGCGAAACTTCGGTATTGTCATAGCTTGGTTTATCCTTTTCGTATGCTTGACAATGGTCGGAATGGAGCTCCAGAAGCCCAACAAAGGAGGCAGCACGGTTACAATCTTCAAAAAAGGCGAAGCGCCCGAGGCTGTGCAGGAGGCTGTCAAAAACAAGGAACTTCCAGGGGATGTGGAAACGGGAAGTGATGGAACAGGAACCACCAATGGGTTCCAAGAGAAGGATACAGATGGTTCCAGTGATGAGGTGCAAGGGATCGCGCGAAGCACGTCGATATTCACCTGGCAAGGTGTGAACTACACGATCCCTTACAAAGATGGCCACAGAAAGCTACTGCAAGACGTTCAAGGATATGTTAAGCCGGGCCGTCTTACTGCGCTAATGGGCGCCTCTGGGGCTGGGTAAGTGACGGTGTTCTAAGGTCTGTTGACAAATACTGATCATTGCCCAGCAAGACTACGCTTCTCAATACTCTCGCCCAGCGGATAAACTTTGGAGTCGTCACAGGTACCTTCCTTGTTGACGGAAAGTGAGTATCAGCTTGAAGACTGCTTTTCAAACAGCTGCTTACATTTGCAGGCCTCTTCCTAAAAGCTTCCAAAGAGCAACTGGCTTTGCTGAGCAAATGGATATTCACGAACCTACAGCAACTGTCAGAGAATCGCTCCAGTTCTCAGCCCTTCTTCGTCAGCCAAAGGAGGTACCAATCAAGGAGAAGTACGAATATTGCGAAAAGATAATCGATCTCCTCGAAATGCGGCCAATCGCAGGTGCTATAGTCGGCGAGGGAGGAGCTGGACTGAACGCCGAGCAGCGCAAAAGACTTACTATCGCAGTTGAGCTAGCAAGTAAGCCTCAATTACTGCTGTTTCTGGATGAGCCAACATCTGGATTGGACTCCCTCGCTGCTTACAATATTGTGCGTTTTCTTCGACGCCTTGCCGATGCCGGACAGGCCATTCTCTGCACGATCCACCAGCCGTCTGCCGTCCTTTTCGAGCAGTTTGATGAACTGCTATTGTTGCAAAGTGGGGGAAGGGTCGTCTACAACGATGAGCTCGGCACTGATTCCAAGAGGTTGATCGAGTACTTTGAGCAGAATGGGGCCAGAAAGTGCTCCCCTCATGAGAACCCCGCAGAGGTACTCTTTCATATACGTTTATCCATTAAATACGATGCTAACTTGTGGTAGTATATGCTCGATGTCATCGGTGCCGGTAACCCGGATTACAAAGGGCAGGACTGGGGCGATGTTTGGGCCAGATCTACCCAGCACAGTCAGCTTTCAGAGCAGATTGAGAAAATCATTCAGGAGCGACGCAACAAAGAGATTGAAGGAGGAAAGGATGACAATCGAGAATATGCTATGCCAATCTGGGTGCAGATATTGACTGTCTCAAAACGCAGCTTCGTAGCATACTGGCGAACTCCTCAATACGCTCTTGTATGTCCCAAAAGCTTACATTGCACCTATAACCAACCCTCTAACCACTCCACAGGGCAAATTCTTACTTCATGTTTTCACCGGGCTCTTCAACACCTTCACCTTCTGGCACCTAGGAAACAGTTACATTGACATGCAGTCTCGAATGTTCTCCATCTTCATGACTCTCACAATAGCGCCACCCCTGATACAGCAACTACAGCCACGATTTCTCCATTTCCGTAATCTATACCAGTCACGAGAAGCCGGCTCAAAGATTTACTCATGGACTGCATTTGTGACGAGCGCAATCTTGCCAGAGTTGCCCTACTCGGTCGTCGCAGGGTCGATATATTTCAATTGCTGGTAAGCATTTTCCCCTTCCGCTTCAATAGACGAATCCCCCTAACGCGCACCAGGTACTGGGGCGTCTGGTTCCCGCGAGATTCATTCACCTCCGGTTTTGTCTGGATGTTCTTGATGCTCTTCGAGCTGTTCTATGTCGGTCTCGGTCAATTCATCGCAGCCTTCTCTCCAAACCCACTCTTCGCCTCTCTCCTCGTGCCGACTTTCTTCACATTCGTCCTATCCTTCTGCGGTGTCGTCGTACCATACTCTAGCCTGAATGTTTTCTGGAGATCCTGGATGTACTGGCTCACGCCATTCCATTATCTTCTGGAAGGCTTCCTGAGCGTCGTCGTACACGGTGTTCCCGTCCGCTGTGTCCCCAGAGAGGAATCAGAGTTCAGCCCACCTTCAGGAATGACTTGCCAGGAGTATGCCGGTTCCTACGCAAGCCAGATAGGCGGATACGTCCAAGATGCTGGTAACGGTCTTTGTGCTTTCTGCCAGTACTCTGTTGGCGATGCCTTTGTATGTTTACCCTGTCTTATCTTGCTCTTTATATGAAGTCCGCAGACACTAATCATGCCTTGCTACCAGGCCCGAAACTTCAACGTTTACTACTCGCACAAGTGGCGTAACTATGTATGTTGTGTATCCCCCTCCTTCGAAAAATATGTGCTAACCTGAACCTCGATAGGGCATATTCTGGGCCTACGTGATATTCAACTTCATGGCCGTGTTCTTCTTCTCGTGGCTTTACCTTCACGGCGCAAGGAACATCAAGAGAAGTATCAGTGCACGGAAGTCGAAGAAAGCTGTCAAACAGTGATTGATTGTGTTGGTGTAATATGTTATGTTATCATTCCACTCCTATATCATCTACTAATACTATTTCATCTCTCCTCTCCCACACACACACACACACAAGTTCAGCAGCACCAGTTACCCTGCGAACCCAGTTGATTATACTATTGTCTACTTTCCAAGTAGTACTCAAGAATGTATAATGTTATCACATGTACCCTTACTAATATATATCAGTCCGGTGTGACCTAATGCTATAATCTGCACATTAAATAAGTAACTACTCTCTGCCAAGATTATTTTGTCTTTTTGCAATAGATGGAGAAAAGTGAACATGCAGCGGTGATGCCATTTTGGATATTTACATCCAGCAGAGAGTGTACGGTAGGGCCTCTCTCTCTTTCTCTTTCCCTCTCTCTCTCCTCCCAAAAGCTTGTATGGAACATAAGTTTGTATTGTTGTTCAATACCAATCTTCACAAATAAATTGGAGCCCTTGGTAGCTAGCTTGGTAGATCTCCAAGATCGTATGTAACAGCGACACATTTGATCGAATGAACACGCGCACACATGGCGGTACTCGCTCCTCTTTGTTTACGGGCTATACTCATACTCTGGAGCTGACTCCAAAGAGGATGTGATATGTCCAGTTGGACCCCAATGACAGTTCTTACCCGGAGCAAGACGGCGGAGGCGTGGGACCTGCAGGGTTGGCCGGGTTTGAGGGTATACCGGATGGTTGAGCACTAGTGCTAGTCCAGGAAGTAGTGGAGGGAGGAGCGGGAGCGGGTCCCTGGTTTGTAGCCGTTGTCGTGGTAGCAGTAGTAGAGGAGGAAGTAGGGCCAGTAGGAGCAGGTGCGCCGTCAGGAGCGTGCGGAGGGTTCTCGATGTGGTGGCCGTTCATCAGGCGAGGCCGTTTAGCTTGCGGGCCCTCATCGGGACTCCGGGTGCTGTCATGTTGGTGCATATAGGGCGAGGTCTGCTGGCTTGGAGGCGCGGAGGGTCCACCACTTGTGTTTGAGGGGGAAGGGCCGGGGCTCAGTGCCGAGGGGGGGTTCAACATCCTAGAGCGGGTAGGGTCATCGCTGGTGGTTGCGGGTGCGGTGGTGGTGGGTGGGTGTCTGGGTTCTGCGCTGCGATATTCATCCTGCATGCTGTTGGCGTAGCCAATTCCGACGCGGCCCATGCCTCTGTCGTGCATGACGACTCGTTTCCATTTCGCAACCACATTGTCGTAGTCCCAGCGAGAGGCCGTAGGGCTGATTTGGCTCTCCTTAGTGTCAAGTTCTCGGGCGACGTCTCGTGGGAGCGGGAGCGTGTCCGGGGGGAAGATCGCGAATTCCCTGGGCCATTGGCAGGAGCCTAGTCTTTCTACCTGGGCACGAAGTTGGTTTGCCTCCTGTTGGACGCGCGCGAGCTGGTCATCTAGCGACTTTCGTTTTTCCATTTCCCTTGCGAATGCGCGCGTGATCTCGAGCTGCCATGCGTCTCTCCTTGCATCTGTCGGCAGTGAGGCCCAATGCTTGAATGCCAGCTCCAAGTGCCGCAGACTTAGGTCTTCATGCTGCTGCGCGCTCCGGCTGATCATACTTGAGTCTAGACCTAAGCTTGGTCTCCCTGATTGAGAGTTGTTGTTGGACTCGGCCGTGCGCTGATCCGACTGCCATTGATCAATCTTCGCGCGAAGCGCTTGCCGGACAATGTCCAGATGTTCCACTCCCGGCGGCTGGAGTGGGAATGATGACGGAGACGGGAACGGGCTTGCTGCGAATAGACTAGGAGGGGGAGGCAGCAACTGCAGACAGAGGGAAGGGAAGGTTTGCGCCTGGATGTCGAAATCGAACGGGGAGAGTCTGGGACGCATTCTGGAACTATCAAGCATATCAAAATCAGCGTTCCAATCGCTCATAGACTAACAACGCTGTCGAATTCAAGCGCATAGTTAGCAATGCCAGGTGATGTACATACGTTGCAGCCTTGATATTATCCAGGACTTCGCGCAGAGCCAGCTCCAATGCCCTCATAGTATCCGGGTTATTCGAGCCACCTCTATCCGGAAAAGGGAGCGGCCCAGTGCGTGATTGCGAGGGCGCAATGCGCGAATGAGACGAGCTAGTATCCTGTGACTGGCTAGGATTGGGAATATCATTGATCACACCGGTCGCATGCCACGTAGGCGTGTTGAACATCATCCTATACGCGCCATCGCGTGACTTTGACCCCGAATCGCCAGGCGTGTAGGAGTCCTGCTGGCCTTTTCCTGTTGTTCTCTCGGGAGTATCGCGTCTGCCAGACGAGGTACGGGCCTGTCGGCGAGTGATACCGCTCCGAATGCGCCGGATTTCCTCGACATCATGAATACCGTCTGGTTTCTTCTTGAAAAGGAACTGATCCAGATGGCGACCGAGGGACGAAGAGGTGAACGCTTGATGGCAATACTGGCACTTCCGATCCTTCAAGGCCGGGTTCTTCGCGGCACTCGAGGCGGCATTGTGATCATCACCGCCGGCAGAGCCTTCGGGGGTATCTGTCGGACGAGAAGACGCGCCTTCTTCCATGTTTCACGGGGACGCGGGGGGTCGAGCCAGGAAAAGAGAGGCGTAGCGAATATGGTAACACTTAAAGGGACGCGTTCAATGGAGAGGGTAGTAGAAAGAGCATTCACTGGGTTACTGCAGCTCAATGCATGACCCTGGAAGATTGGAGAAGCTGCGTCAATCAAGAGGGATGACACAGTGGTATGGTAGGGCGTCGGGGACGCAGTAAGAGCTGCAGATGGACAGGCAAGGAAGAAGGGGAGGGTGGAAAGAATTACACGAGGGAAAAGTGAGGAGAGGAACGTGACGATCGAGCAAGAACCGCCAAGCTTCGGTCTTGTGGGGATTAAGAGCCTCTGGTTCTCGCCCGCCGATTTGACAGATTCACTTTCCCGATCCTATATAGAGCTTTTTTGATAGAGAGAAAGAGAGAGAGAGAGCTTTGAGAGCTTGAGCATTGACTTGTTTGTGACATGTTTCAGGTGTATGCTGAAAATCCAAGATCTGCTGTGTGGGGGGATTTATGGGTATTCACTACCACAACTATGAGTCCGACCAGCTTTCTATCTGTAGAGAATGTTGATCGTTTTTCCGCGGTTGGTGTATATTCTACAAAAAAGACGTAGGTAGTCTACGAAGGAGGGAGAGGTGGGATGTAGCATTGAAAAAGCAACAACAGACATTGGGACATGAAACACGATGCTCCAAAAGGTGTTGACTAGTACCTAGTTTTGTGGTGGCTTGTATAGCACATTTTACTCCTCCTCTCAACAAGTAATCCGATATGGTGTAGTGGCTAACATCGCCGTCTCTCACACGGCAGCCGGGGGTTCGATTCCCCCTATCGGAGCTCAAACATTTCCTTTTTGTTTTCTTCCTTTATAAATATTTGATACTATCCTGACTACATAGAAGAGTATCATGATGATGCATTCAATAAAGTAAAGTTCTGGGCTAATCTTTTTGCTTTTACATACTACTAGTTTATAAACATATATTTGGCAATCTCCCCCTTCCGTAAACACCTCAATACCGACCACAAATAACAATATCATAGCACAACTGCTTCAAGGCGGTGCAACTTGAAGTCGATCTGCTCAATAAATATATATTTGCGCTGAAAACTTCTCAACAGTTTAATTCCAGCTTTCTTTCTCGCCAATGTATATAATCCACCCTCGACTGCCAAATACTACACCCGAGCACAAACCCGAACCTAGGATCTGATATCGCCGAGTAAAGCTGGCGTAACCCCCGAATACTACCGATGCCAACCGTGCAAAATAATGCCCTACACTACCAAGTACTATCAATAAATGGAACAGACCCTCAACCCTGACCGCGCAACATTGTCAGTAGTTTGTTTCATCGCAACAGCATAACACTTCTTACTTGCTTTCAAGCGTACTGCATCCCCCATCGTAACCGGCTACATTAACCACCCATGGCAAAAAACACTTTCGTCACATCTACACAATGCATCCTATCTTGTCATCTGGCCATAGTAAAAGCGGCGAGGACAAATTCTTCGAACAAACATCTCCCCGCCTCGCTTGTCCCAGGGAACATGCTGAATCCTTCGTGTTCGGCGATCAGTCATTGGCGGAGGAAGCGGGACATGGATTGATTCCATCCTGTTGTAGTCTAGTAGGGAACAAGTCTCGGTTCCAACCTCGGGTTGAATATAGTTTTGCCGTGGCAAAGCTAGTATGGATAGATCGGCGGGCACATCGAGAGCTTATCGGGTATGACGGGGATGTCATTATATGATGGATGTAATTAGTCGCCTCTAGATCCCCGAGTAATTGCCGGCTGAGGTTTTCCTCCTGTATGAAGCAGTGTATGAACTGAGTTAAGTTTAAGGATATCACATTACACCTGTAAGATTTGCATGTTAATGTACAAGAAAAAATGAAAATACATCTCTGGAAGAACCGAAGATGAGTGCCGAGACGTCTCTTTTTTTGTTCGCCTCCGACAAAGCAGAAATACACAAGGATGCAAGGCTGTGCAATCCAAAATCGCCGGCAAAACCCTTTTTTTCTCAAAAACACATCTTTTAAGAGAAGGGATCGAAGCATGAATCGAAAACCTCTATACCATGCATCCTGAAATGATATGACCCAGCCAACACCAGAGAAGAGAGACACGAGGGAGGAATATAAATAATATGGCAATATTGCTGACAACGGCGGGGAAATCGTAGGTCTTAACGTGAAGCGATTGGTAAATTAAGCGACAGCCTTGTCGCCGGACGGAGGGGCAGGAGGAAGCTAAAGCAGTGGCAAGTCAGTGCTCAATAAGCTTCAGCGATGAGGTGTAGCCTTTGCAGGTCGAGTGGCCACACGACATCAGAGACAAATGCGGGGGATGATCTCACCTCTAGTTTTGTGTTGTCGGCCATCATTCTCTGGAAACCGATACCGACACCCTCAATGACAGCCAGGAAGACAGCGCACATGATGGCGGAGTTTCTGGCAGCCTTGACACCACCACGAACGGCCAAAGCACCACCAGTGAAGAAACCAGCAATGACTGCAAAGTGGATCGTTAGATATGACTCCCAATTCTAAGGCGCATAGAAACATCGTAGCCATCCCTCACGGATAGACCGGGAAACATACTAGCATTGTAAGGATCCTCCTTCTTTCTGATACCCTTGATCGCACAGTCGAACGTCGAGAACATACCACCCCAAACACCGAAGTTACCACCGAGAACCGGCGCACGAGCCTTGATGGCTGTGATGGCACCTATCCGACGCTCTCCGTAGGGGCTGTTTCTGAAACCCTTCACACCGTGCCAGACAGCACCACCAATTGCCTATAGAGACAGAGTATATTTAGCTTTTACCCTTTGGTGACAAGCACAATCGATTGGGAGAACCAGTGACGTACACCCATACAGAAAGCACCACCGAAGTCGCTAAGAGCAACCCAGGGGCAGGGATCTCTGGAGTGATCCATATCGAATATGAAGGAAGAAGAGAGGACCGGAGAAGAAGGAGGGAGGTGAGTGGAGTCGTAAGATCGAAGACCTGCTGTACTGGTCGAACTGCACGGATCAAAGGAAGTGTAGGTCGAAAGAAGGTGACTCCAAGCTTATCCGGACGAGGGTCGGAACGCTGGGAATGAGATAATCGATAGTCGGGTGATGAGCCTCAAGGGGCAATCGGGATAGGATGGAGGAGTTGAGGTCGGAGTGACAAGCTGGATGCTGTCTTTAAAGAACAGAGTCTGGGGTCCGGGACGGAGAGGATGGCGGATCGCGACAGTAAGTTTTTGGCTTTTTTCGCCGGGAAACGTGACTTCGGACGGGGGTCACAGTCACGTGCAGATAACCACCCGAAAAGTCCCATCCGGGCATCCAAACAGACCGCGCCCCGGTTTTCGTGGCTGTGGCAAGGACCTCTAGACGCCGGGATGACAATAGAAGAAAATCCAAGCAGGGATATGCAGGTTAAAGTTTTCCTGTGCTTTGTTTGGCGGAAATGACGCCCCGTGCATTGAGAAAAAAAAAGTGCTATTTTAATATCCAGAAGTGATCCCGCACTCCTTGATTTTGCTATTTACAAGAATGCTATGATGGCAGGTTCCAGATGAAGTTCAATGCTCCTCCTTCATATGCCGGAAATTGTCCACCAGTGCTGATACCGAAAGGTGCCATCGACGGATCAAACGGCAACGACAGCCAGTCGTCGGCGGCGATGCCGTTCAATGATGGTATGAAGTTCATGTCTGTCACATTCTGCGACACAGGGACGCCCATGATTGCGCCGTTGTCGTTTTCCATGCTGTGAGAAGGCATCATTGAGGGCTGCGTAGTTGCTCTATGGTTATGCTTCACCGATTTGGAAGAAGCCAACAGGTTGCGTCTTAAACGCGATACGTGCATCTCTAGTAGAGCAGCATACCGAGAGCTTAGATGAATGTCATCGAGCGCATTAGACTTAAGCGCCTGCACGCTGCGATCGAGAATGTCCAGCGATTCACGGAGCTTTGCAGGCCGGGTCCCTAAACTAAGAGCCTTCATCAGGAAAATGGAGGAGCTGGTGACCCGAAGGAATATTCGGACGGGGGAGAACCGCAGAGCCCCGGTTTCACCTAGTTGAGCCACTTTTTGTAGTATTTGACAGCAGCCTTCAATAACCTCTTGAATATACTCATAGTCGATCGGATCAATATTAGTGGCCCGGACGTCCTCCGCATTTGGTTCACTGTCTGCAACGGCACGTTCAACAACTGCCTGCATCCCTACCGAATGGGTATAGACGCGTACGAAATGGTACTCGATAAACAGAATATCGAAGAAGTGTTTGCTGAGTACTAAAAGATGTTAGCATTCATCGACGATGGTATGAGGGAGAAACCACTCGATTGAAAGTGACTATGCTTACCCTGTGGCCGGAGATGATCATCTTTCCACCTGACAAGTAGAGTACGGAAGTGATCCAACAAGTCGATGTACCTTCCACTATGGAACTGTTGTCGCGCAAACGATACGGAAGGAAAGAACGTATCAGTAACAGATTTTGCCAGCTTTGTAAGATCCATCCAGGAATCCATAAATGTTAGCCACTCGTCTCCCGGTTGGCTCAAAGCCCTGCTGATTTGTCGACCTGCAATAGCATGGCTTAGGCTTTGTGGCATAAGTGATACACAACCTATTCGCCAGGCTAGCTGGTTGATATATACGTATAGAAGCCGTTGTACGCGCTGCCTGCGGAGCTTGATTTGGTCATCAGATATAGACCCTTCATATACGGAAGTGTAGTCGCATTTCTTGTCATCCAGCTCGAAGATGCCAAGCTCATGCGCAAGCGATAAAGCAGAGCCAAGCAACATCCATGACATTTGATCTGATCTCTTGGCTGGCTCGATCATATCCTCGAGCCACCTGTCGGCTGATGAACCTTCCGATTCTTGGTGCTCTGGGGCCAGCACCAAGTCGGAATCCCATCCGTCGCTCTCGGGCGGAAAGTGGAGAGACCTAGGGTGCCATTCTGACATCAGTAAAAGAGCCTCGATCGTGCCTATGCTCCTTATCCGAGTGTGAGACGACTTCTCCTGGCCAAAAATTAGCCGCACCACCAGCTGCTGGCAATGCTGCCAGAGTCGATGGTGAATAAAGAAGTTTCTGGACTCGCCGCCAGCCCCTGGTAAGACATGGTATCGCGATGAAAGCATTAAAATTGTACAGCATAAGACAGGGTCCCGTGTCACGAGCCAGTGGTGATTATTGTGGTCCGCATAGAAGTTTGTTAAGATCGGGGATAGCGGTGTCATATTCTTGAAAAACCTGGCATTGTCAGTAATTTTCAAATGCGCGTCTACATATTTGCACTAACTGATCAATCAACGTGACTGCTTCTCTTGAAGTAAACCACCCCATCTTGACAAAGCGACAAGTCTCCCAAACACCGAGAACCTCTTTCGAGACAGGGGAAAGTTTGACTGGACGCTTTGCCTTGGCTATAGCCTCAGCAGCAAACATAGTCTGCGCATGATCACCAGAGTGATCCACGTCGCTGACTTGTGCCGTTGAAGTCTGTGTATTCCGTGAGTGTGTCTCGGATCTATTGGAGCTGTTCTCTTGGCTGTGAACTGCTGCTGCTTCGAAGAGAATATTAAGCGCATCGTTTCCACTTGAGACCACGGTACGCATCATGGAGTTTGCCAAGGTAGATGTGGAGTGATGACGGTCACGGCGTCTCTCGGGACTGTATGGCTGCTGCGGGCTGTTATAGCTATCCCCGCGTTTGCCATGATCACGAACCGGGCTGTCATCAACCACCTGAAGTACATCGTCCGGGATGTCTCTGCTACGTTTGGGAGTGGCTGATAGCCTTCGGCGTACACTTGAGGGTGGCGTGACGCCTTCTTCAGATGGTCCTACTCGGTGTCAATCATGCTGATAGTTATGCAGGAAGGGGTTGGCATCGCGCACCTCGCTTGTTTGTCCTCTCCCACGCCCTCTTCTCGCTAAAAACACACTCTCTCTGTTCTCTACGACATTTCGCACAGGGCGGTCCTAATGGGAGACCTTCCGAGTCTGTTCCAAGATCGCATTTTGCCTTTCTCTGACGACAGGAGAGACAGGCCTTGTAGGTCCGCTGGTATGCCCGGTTCAAGGCGTCTCCGCTGCGGGACGGCCCCCTAACTTCCATTACTGAACGCGTAGCGGCCCGGCCAATAGCATTTTCGTGATAAGATTGAGGTTGCAATAAAGAGACCCGGATATTTGGCTGGCTAGAAAAGGGCTAGATTAGGCGGGTATCAAAGGTTCGCTGGGAGCGGATATTGCAGGTGGGAAGGGGAAAAAGGGGGGTGCAGACTGGTGGGGAGCCGCAAAATACCCGCCGATTGCCGCGGGCGGAGGCCTGAAAATACCCGAGCCCTTTCACCAAAGCCGGGCAAAGGACAGAGATATGACAGCTGACCTCGTATACTCCTCCATAGATACGACCCATTGGACAGCCAGCCAAACACAGCTGGAATTCCAATCTCACTATCAAGGTCGAAATGGTGTCAAAGATGGTCGGTATTTGCTGCTCATGGTGTCATCGAGAATTGCTACGGCGAATTCCGTATACGCTGCATGTTATGTCATCGTCTGCACAAACCAGCACCATCTTGGTTATCAGACTTTATGCTGAATGCGACGCTGTATGCCAGGGGTATGCCAAACCTAAGAGTTTTGGCTCTCTGGGATCCAGATTTTAGCTCTTGTCTAGAACAGATCCTCGAACCAGGCAAACATGACTGCCGTGACGTCAACTAAGCCCAAGAAACGAGCAGCTCGAACTCGGGACCCGACAGCGCCCCCACTCCTTCATTCACAAAAAGAGGATTCTGAGTGAAAATCCAATTCACACCTATAATGCCCATGAATATCCTTGTCCAACCCGGCTGTCTGGACAAAGTGACTCCTCGGGAAGACGCGGCAACCCACGCGCGTAGCTCCCAGCCCGGGCCTCCATCCCTACGGAACGCTTCCGCAGTATACGACTAGCAGATGCATATGATTCCAACTACCACCACGAATATAATGGATATAGGCAATATCCCCCAAAGTAACACGGATATATTGTGTAAAAGAATGATCACACGCAGGTACTGTGCTACACACACCCCGCAGCGGTCCAAGCCCTCCGCACCTCCGCTGCAACCTAATACGTACATAGAATGGTAGCTGTAACCCATATAATCCACATACTAGCCTACTAGCTGCTACAACTACTGCTACTTGCTATACGCTACAAGCCTACAAAGCTACAAGCCTAAAACTACATTCTACATAGCCTACCCATCTACATCTCTACAAAACCAAAATGCCCGAACAAACCATAACCCTCCACACCTACTTCCGCTCCTCCTGCTCCGCGCGCCTCCGCATCGCCCTCAACCTAAAATCCATCCCTTACACCTCGATCCCCATCAACCTACTCAAAAACGAGCATCACAGTAACCAAAACACATCCCTAAACCCCTCCGCCAGCGTTCCAACCCTCATCATCGAGAACCCCGAACACACAAACGATGGAAAAACAATCATAATCCCCCAGTCCCTCGCGGCGCTGGAATACCTCGAAGAAACCCACCCAACAGCACACCCCCTCCTCCCACCCACTTCCGACCCCACCGCGCGCGCAACAGTCCGCACCCTAGCCAACATCATCGCCTGCGACGTGCAGCCGGTCACGAACATGCGGATCCTGAAGCGGGTGGCGCCGCTCGGCGTGGACAGGGAGACATGGTCGAAGGAATTAGTGGAGGATGGGTTCCGGGCGTACGAAGCTATTGCGGAGAAAACGGCGGGGAGGTATAGTGTTGGGGATGAGATTACCTTGGCGGATGTGTGTCTTTTGCCTGCTGTTTGGGGGGCGGAGAGAGTGGGTGTGGATTTGGGAGACTTTCCGGTTATTAAGGGGGTGAGGGAGAGGTTGGAGGAGGTGGAGGCTGTTAAGAGGGCGCATTGGAGGAGTCAGGATGATACACCGGAGGAGTTTAGGGTTGGTGATAAGCAGTGAGATAGGGAAAGGTTTTGGTTTGGAGGGGTGGGCTAGATAAGTGTGTTTGGGATTGAAGTGGTGGGTTTCATAGTTTTTCTTTTTCTTTCTCTTATCTATGTAGGTTTGGACTGACTTTTAAGTATATGTTCGGGTTTGGTGGGTCTGGATCTGGATCTTACGTCTACAGTTTGAATTGGCTCCGTGGCTCCGCGGACTATTAAGAGAAAACG